GTTATTAAAAGGGACCTCTAAACATTGGTGACAGGGTAGTAAAAGCTTGGTGGCTTAAAACTCTTTTATTCTATAAATTTCAGCACACAGAGAATAAACACAACGATGACAGGGCTTGAGTTATGGGCTGGTCACTTGGGGTCACCGGCTAGCCCACCTCAACGGCAGACCAGCCCAGCGGGCTGTTGTGACCTTGACCGCCCTACGGCACACTCTGGTCTGACAGGGTCGTCCTTGGAGAATAAGTATCGGCGACCACCGGAAGCAGGGGCGGAGCTACAGCGGCGTGGGCGTGGGCGTGGCCACCTGCGGCGGCTTCCAGGCCTCCAAGCTGACCTCTCTCTGCAGCTGAGGGTCAGGTCATCGGCAGATGTTCCTATGAATATCACAGAGGGGCAGAGGAAGATGAAGGTAGATGTGGTAGATGAAGATAGAGTGGAACGTTTAGATTGTCTGGTGCGACAGGTAGAGTGAGAAGGAGGGGAGACGTAGGCTCCGGGCAAGTGATAGAGATTGGAGTATCTGGATTTAGACTGGAAAAGGAATTTGATTGGGGGAGAGAGGTAGGTAAAGGGAAGAGATACTGGAGGAGATGCTGAAAGTCCTTGAGAAGATGGGAAGGGAGCGGAGCGAAGTACAGTTTTGGGATAGGTAGAAGAAGAGGAAAACCTCGTCGGCGTGCTTCTTATCTGGTCTCACGTAGTGTGAGGCCTTGTTTGAATTTGAGAACTGCTACCTCAGATTGTAGGCAGATCAGCTCCTACAAAGTACATTATGGGAGCCACCACAATTGGTACACGTACGTGAATGAGCAGAGCAATTGAACGGCCATGACCAGGTTGGGCACACAGAGGGCAACGAGCTTTGGAGCGACAGTGTTTGGTTGGGTCGCCTAAACGCCAACATTTCTGACATTGACGGGGAAGGGGTCAGTATGGTCGGACAAGGCAGGACACTCCACCAATGTAAACTTTCATGGGGGAGGTCATGTCTACAGAAGTTAACCTTGGCAATATTGGTGTAGGGCTTACGTTAAACATAGTTTAGATTGGACCGCCACTGCATCATAATCGAGAGGCATACGAGCAAGTCGTTTTCACAGTTTGTCGCAAACAGGACCATCAGTTGGAGAGACGGAAAACAGTTGCGGTACAAGTTTGTATAGGTTTGTAGAGGTGGAAGCAGTAGGAGGACGTGAGTGGGAAGAAGATCGGGTGGTATGGAGGGTGGTCGTACTTTTGGGAGAGGGAGAATAAGGATGATGAGTCTCAATAAGGAGGGGGGGGGGGGGTAGACAACGAAGAAGAATGTGTAGTAGTGGATAGAGTGGAGGATGTTGTGAGAGAGAAGGGATGTATCTGAAGGATGAGTGATGACCTGGGTGGATAATCGGAATGCATAGGGATGACCCGCAAACATCGAGGGGATACTAATATCAGTCGCAGCCGCTGTCAAAGGAGAGGCAGGGGTCGAGAAGCCAATGAAAACAAATTTAGATAGGCTAGTTGATGCAGGGACAAGCCTTAATGTCCCTAATAAGGGTAAAATATCTTCATTATTGGCCATGGCGAGCCTGAAATAGATGGGATGAGGATACAGTCTACCCCTCAATGTAAGAGCTCGGCAATTAACTAAGGGAATACCGTGCCTACGGCTTCCAGAGGCCGTTCATGACTAACACAAAGCCAGTCTTTCATTCTTTCAACACGGCTCTCACACCTTAGGAAGTGGACAGAAGAAGGGAATGATGAAGAAGAGAAGGAAAGGGAAGGGGGAGAAGAATAGAAAATGCAAAATTAGTTGTGGCGAGGGCTGGGTGCAAAGTAGGGATGAAGGGGGTAACCATTGTTATGGCATTTGTTAAAAAGACTGGCTAGTATCACTGTTGCAATACCTCCCACACCTAACGTAAAGTCTCTACTTATGCTAACTTCTGGTATTTTCCCTCTTCTTGCTCTTATGCGTTGTTTTTATTTCCTCCACATGAAGTAAGCGCCTCTCCAATTATTGTTTGTACTTCTGTCTGTGGATGTTCATCTTAGCTGTATAAATTACTGTAAAAGTTTTCCACTAATTTAATGATTTCTTTTTTGCTAGATGTCACTCCACTATCTAGTTTCTTTATTGCTTACATTTGATTTGTCCCTATTCCAAGTTTCCTTTTGGCGGTTTTAATGCTGGTTCCTGAAATCACTGTTTCGTTTATCTTTTTAAATGCTGAATTTGCATACATCCTTATTTTTCTTTTACTTATAATCCTAGTTCTGCTGATTCCATTTTCCCTTACATCTTTGCACAAGCTGTTTGATTCTCACTGAGTTTATTGGAGCTTTGCTTGTTGTTTTCACCACCTACTTCAAGTACAGCTTCCTTTATTATCTCACTGAACTGTTTGCTGATTTGGTCAATGTCAGAATCTTGAGAAGTGAGTATCTATTTTGGATATTATGGCTATATTCTGTCACTCTGATCTCCAAATTAGCTAGATTAGGGAGCAACTTTCAGATGGATTTATTCCTTTCCTTTCTGAGGTGTAATCTTATTCTGCATCTGAGCAGAATAGATTTTGCAATACCAACATATATTTTATTTATAAATTTCACATTTTCCACCATGCTGTGCATATTTTTGTGAATAAAAAGTCAATTTTGTATGTGATGCCAGATGACAACTTCTATAATATTTTCTTATAAGCATTGTTTGGGAGTCATCAGAAGCTATAGATAATATGGATCTGTTGAGTAGATTATACATTTTGGTAATATTTTTTGTTTTGTTTATGCAGTTCAACCAATATCCCAAAGAATAATCTTGTTGGGAAAGTATGTAATATGCTCTTTCCAATATAATGTGCCTATCTTTATAATGGTGGTGTATTGATTAATTTCTATACTGTATATATTCAACAATGGGATATAATTCTTTAAAATGCATATGATAAATAAATACCTCAAATTCACAAAACATTTATTTACAAAATTCATACATATATATACACTTTACAGTTTGTAATATCAAGTTCAATAATGCAGAAGATACATGATTAGCAAATCAAAATTTCTGTTTTGTTGTATGTAAAATTTGTTGTATCTAAGAAATGTACACTATTTTTATAAATATCAATCCTAATGTCTTGAATCAAGAAAATATTCTTTTATATTTTTTATCTCTCTATTTTCTTTTATTTTGTCACTTTCCTTACTCTTACAGTAATGTTTTCAAGCTTTCACTGTTATTTCAGTTAAACCTACTTAATAACTGATACTTAAAAAGAACTCATTCTGATGTATTTGATCCACTGGCAATCTTCTGCTTTTCAAATAATTCTATCATCTGCTCTGTTGCAGTCTTCTCTGTCACATGAGCTGCAGACAGCTTCTCCTGTGGATAAAGGAACCATAATGTATTATTTTTACCACCATGCCCCAACTAGTAGTTCACACCTATCACACCAACCAAAAGATAAAGAATCTTTCCTTGGTTAAAAGGAAAAACTGTTAAGAACATGTTTCATAATTAGCTCATATATACAGCAACACCTATTAATAAAATTCAATCTATATTCAGAGAAATTCCTGTATTGTTCTTCTATGTTATCCACATGTCAAAATAACTCATGCTCCCCAAAATAAAACCATGATATACTACAATTCTTTTGGCTGACTCACATATAACCTGGTGTCTTGTCTTAGAAGGTGAATAATAACAGTATTCTGTCCCATTAGTAGAGAACCATTCAAACTGACAACTTCATCTGATGAGTCAATATTCGTGACAGGCAATCACAATACTTACACTGGGATATTCAGCAATGTTAATCTCAAGATCTCGATGTGTCCAGGGCGTCCAAGGGCCTTGAATGGATGGGTGATCTGTATGCTGATACTTTCTGAGACGCTCCACTGGATTTCCTGACCGCATTCTAAGGTATTCAACCCATTTCTTGATATCGCTACTTGAGAGGTTGTGAGCCGAGATATATTCTTCCTCACCATTTACTGGGTAAAAAAATGAAATGAGGAATTTGTGAAAACACACTTATGCATCTTAGGCAGTCATCAATATAACTATTTGGTAAGATTACAAAAATTTATCATTTTTTAAAAATCTGTATTCAAAATCTAAAAAGTAAATCAGTATCATGAGAGTTAAATAAAAATGAAACAAAAACATACAGTATTCAGCCTTGAGGCAAGGAGATCTGTGACGACGTGGTTTAAGGTACACAACAACTCCTGGGTTCACTTTTGCAAAATGAACAAGGTCCTTCTCAATGAATTCTCTGAAAAAAAAGCCAACCACATTAAAAACAGGATAAAACAACATATCTACAAAATAAGTAAGTAAATTAAGAAGAACTACAAGTTCCATACTTTCTGATTTTGCGGCAGTACATGGAAAATTATTTTTCCCATTCACAAATAACAAACAATAAGCTCAAACTTCTGTGATGTTAAAATTATTATGCATACTTGTAAAGACTTCAAGCCAAATTTGACTTGATGTCCTATGATCATACAGGTAACATATTTTTATTTTCCAAAATCATGGTTGCTATAAGATGAACAATTTTTCAACCCCTAAAGTTAAAGGATACTTGAGTGAGTATATTAATAATTTAAATTGTCAATCTCATATTTTTCTTGTTGTTATTGTTGTTGTCAAACTACCCACATTCCCTCCTCCCCCCCTTGTGCCCTTTTGTTTCCCTGACCCAATTACAGAAGTGCCACGTGGCACCTCTTTTGATAAGTGACTATAGGGAGGAAGTAGAAAATAGTAACTGTATGGCATGTAATTTCCTATAAAAGAAAGAAAGAAAGAATAAATGTGCCAAGTAGAAAGTATGTATAAAGCCACCAAATATATATATTGCAGACATCATGTGAATGTCAAGTGGATTTTAAGATGTAGACCTATTCTGAAAATATTACCAAAAGTGGCCTTGGATTGGGTATCAAAACCTGAAACATGTAGATGGAGAAAGATGAGGTCAAGGAACTGCAGTCTTCTTGGATAAAATAAATATTGTCTAAATGTCTTTCTCTTAGTAGAGCACCACATTCCACAAAGTAATGAAAAGAATAAAGAATTTACAAACAAATACCCGTTTACTTATATTTGCAGACAATCATTCTGTGACAAAACATTCATACTGCATGTGTAATGTTAGACAGATATGATGTAGATGATATAGAAATTTTATTGAGTTGCAATTAGTTTCTGGTAGATTTATCTGTCCTATTTATAAATCTTTAATGAATTTATACTACATTTACCTGTACTATTACTTTAATAGCAATTTCGATCACCAATGGGTATTGTTCAAGCTTTGTTTAACTTTGATATCAAACAAGATGGGATATTTGTGACTAATTATATTTTGGGAAAATACAGATCTTAAAAGGTATGTTCCTGTGGCTGTTCAAGTAAAAGGTTAATTAATAAAAAAAAAAAAAAATTGCATTACCAATTTAACTAGATGTAGTTTGTGTAGTTGGTTTTAAAATCAACATTTAAATTAGGATGCAAATCAAACGTGAAATTCATCAACTCTGCCAAAACAGCAAGACAGACACCCGTTCAAAATTCAACACCACTTTAATCATCGCCACTATATCAAAAAAAAAAAAAAAAAAAAAAAAAAAGTGAAATTCCCTCTCCCTTACCTCATCCCTTGACTGCCTCCATGGGTCTTACAAAACTTAAACGTGACCCTTTGGAGCTGCTGAACATATCTCCCTACGCCGTTCCTGAGAGGTGTGCGCACAAAGGAAGAACCCCAGAACAAATTCCACGTGTGCGAAGTCATTTCTCCTCCTGCAGCCAATGGAGAGACGAGAGTATGCTTTCGAGAGGCGGCTTCTCGTCAGACGACAGTCGCTCGAGCTTCGTGGTTAGGGGCACCTTCGAACAGACGTGACAGAGGAGCGGGAAAAAAAAGCTCGGTTTCCCTTGAAGGTCGACGCGATCTTACGCTCACGCATAAGCACGCATACATATATTTGTATATATATACATATATATGTATGTGTATACATATGTATGTGTAAACATATATATGTATGTGTATACATATGTATGTGTAAACATATATATGTATGTGTATACATATGTATGTGTAAACATATATATGTATATGCATACGTGTCTATGTATATGCATACATGTCTATGTATATGGTTAATGGTTAATGGTTAAAAGCAAGATAAATGTGCTAGACATCTAAGGTCATGTAGCACTATAGTTAATGTTAGTGAAGGGTGGTTGAGTTAGTGATTAGTTGTCTAAGCTGGGCAAAGGAATTAGTGAGTGAAAGGGTTAAGGTCGGGTGTTATATTAGATAAAGGGTATGCATAAGAAAGGTTTCTTGAAGGCATACAATAGATGGGTTATAAGAGGAAAGGATATGATGGTCAGGTCTGTGGGAGCGGAAACCGCGAATATTCCAATGAAGGATAGTTATACTTTCGTTGATTTAGTGATATAGATTGTAGTACGTGTTGGAGAATTTGAAGGGGAAGCAGCTTGAGGGTGGGATAAGGACTGAGAGGTTTGAGATGGGAGAGGTGTGGGAGTTGGTGTTCTATCAGGAGGGGTATTAGGAGATGGAGGGTCTGAGGAAGGGGATACTTGTGACATAAGGGATTCACGTGTGTATCCAGGAGGGAGTGGAAGGGATAGAGGGGATGGTGGGAGAGTTAATGTGGGCAGGGTTGGGGTCAGGGGGATGGGCTGTGTTGGGAGGGGGTAGGAGGGTAGGGTGTAGGGGTGATATCGTTAGGAGGAGGATGGATATCAGCAATTACTTGGAGTGTGGAAGGAGCAGGAGTTGTAGGTTGAGTGTCGGTTTTCATTAAGTAATCTTGAATATTTTCAATAGTTTCTTCTGTGGAGTTGGTTGGGGAGTTTTGGGGGATAAAGGATTTCTTGTGAGGGGGGGAAGAGAGGACTGGTGTCTCAAGAGTACGGGCAAAGGATGGTGGGGGTGATTGTGTGGTAGGGGAAGAGGGGTGGAACGTTTGTTCTGTCTGTTACGGGGAGTGCGAGGAGGGAGAGGGGAAGGTGTTGGGGTTGTAGTGGTGATTGGAGTATCTGTAGTAGAGATTGGAGTTTCTGGATTTAGGATGGCAAAAGAGTTTGACTGGGGAAGGTAGGTGGGGTTAGTGGGGGGGTTAGATGTAGGAGGGGTGGGTTTAGGAGAAGTGTTAGAATGAGCAGTATTACTGGAGTAAGGAGTAAGAGAGAATCCACGTCGACGTGCTTCCTGTCTGGCTTCACGCAGTGTGAGTCCGAGTTTGAATCTGAGAGTTGCTACCTCAGATTCAAATTTGTAGGTGGGACAGCCCCTATAAAATACATTATGGGGGCCGCCACAGTTGGCACATGTGCGTGATTGTGCAGAGCAGTTAGATCGGGTATGGCCAGGTTGGGCACATAATGGGCATCTGGCTGTGGAACGGCAGTGTTTGGCTGGGTGTCCTAGACGCCAACAATTTTGGCACTGACGTGGAGGAGGTTGGTATGGACGAACAGGGAGGGATTCTCCTCCTATGTAGACGTTAAAGGGAAGGTCATGTCTACGGAAGGTAATTTTGGCTATGTTAGTGGGTTTCTTTCGATGACCTCTGGGGGGGATGGAATAGCATTGTACTGATGTTGCATCGTAGTCTGTGAGACAGGCAAGTAGATCTTCTCCACAATCTGACCAATCTTTGTCATAGATTGGGCAATTTGTTGGTGAGATTGAGACTGTTCCGGTGCAAGTATTGAGGGTTGGATGGGGTTCTGCCAGGATGGGGTTACCATATAGGTCAGTTAGTTTTGTTAATGCTATGGCTTGGTTTTCGGATGTTACTGTTACAAGACGGGAGCGGTCGGGTCGGCTACGGAAAGAGACTTTGCCTACTTGTTTTTGGAGGCATTGTTGGAAGAGAAGGGTGTTGTCAGAGTAGGGAGCTGTGGGAGGGATCACGAAAAATCGGTCCCATTTGGCTGCACTGAAGAGAGTATTCAAGATTGTTTTAGAGATAGGGGTGGTAGAAGGGCGAGGGCGTGACGAAGATGGAGTAGTGTTGATGGAGGTAGTGTTATGGAGAGGTGGGCTATAAGGCTGTAAGGTATTAATAAGGGAGGATGGGGTGGTTGATGTTGGAGGTTGTGGGGGTAGAGGTGTTGAAGTTGGGCATGCTGGGAGAGTGGAAATGTTCCTTGAGGGTTGATTGTTGGCTACTGTACTAGTAGGCATTGGTGAAGGGGTAGTTATTGCAGTGTTTGGAGCCGTGGTCAAAGGAGAGCCTGGGGTCGGGGAATCGGGTGGGTTTATTTCGTTGGGGCTATTTGATAAAGGGGCAAGCCTCATTGCCCCTAACAGTGGGGATATATTTTCATTACTGGCCATGGGAAGCCTGGATTATGTTGGGGATAAAAGCAGTCCACCCCTCAGGGTCCCCTTGAGGGGTAAGGGCTAGATAACTAAATCAGGGGAATACCGTGCCCATGGCTCCCTCAGGCCGTTCAGGACTGGCACAAAGTCAGCCTTTCATCCTTTCAGCACGGCTCTCACACCTTAGGAGGTGGATAGCAGAAGGGTTTGGTGAAGGGACAGAAACAAAAGTGGGAAGGGAAAAAAAAGACCATGCATAATTAGTTGAGTCGAGGGCTGAGTCCCAAGGTTGGGGAGTTCCCCATCATTGGGTCCCAGTCTCCGCCTCCTAAGCCCCCCCACGACAACAACGGGCAAGGGATTGGGGGGGTGTCTATGTATATGCATACATGAATATGTATATGCATACATGTATGTGTATATGCATACATGTATGTGTATATGCATACATGTATGTGTATATGCATACATGTATATGTATATGCATACATGTATATGTATATGCATACATGAATATGTATATGCATACATGTATGTGTATATGCATACATGTATATGTATATGCTTACATGTATATGTATATGCATACATATATATGTATATGCATACATGTATGTGTATATGCATACATGTATGTGTATATGCATACATGTATATGTATATGCATACATGTATATGTATATGCATACATGTATATGTATATGCATACATGTATATGTATATGCATACATGTATATGTATATGCATACATGTATATGTATATGCATACATGTATATGCATATGCATACATGTATATGCATATGAATACATGTATATGTATATGCATACATGTATATGTATATGTATACATGTATATGTATATGCATACATGTATATGTATATGCATACATGTATATGTATATGCATACATGAATATGTATATGCATACATGTATGTGTATATGCATACATGTATATGTATATGCATACATGTATATGTACATGCATACATATATATGTATATGCATACATGTATGTGTATATGCATACATGTATGTGTATATGCATACATGTAAGTGTATATGCATACATGTATATGTATATGCATACATGTATATGTATATGCATACATGTATATGTATATGCATACATGTATGTGTATATGCATACATGTATGTGTATATGCATACATGTATATGTATATGCATACATGTATATGTATATGCATACATGTATATGTATATGCATACATGTATATGTATATGCATACATGTATATGTATATGCATACATGTATATGCATATGCATACATGTATATGCATATGAATACATGTATATGTATATGAATACATGTATATGTATATGCATACATGTATATGTATATGCATACATGTATATGTATATGCATACATGTATATGTATATGTATACATGTATATGTATATGCATACATGTATATATATGCATACATATGTGTATACGCATACATATATGTGTATACGCATACATATATGTGTATATGCATACATATATATGTATATGCATACATGTATATATATGCATACATATGTGTATACGCATACATATATGTGTATACGCATACATATATGTGCATATGCATACATATATGTGGTAT